AACGTTCCTAGACATGGTGTTGTAGTTGAGACATTTGTTCCCACAAACCTGATGTTGAGATTTGATCCCCAATGCTGGAGGTGGGGCCTGGTGGGAGGCGTTTGGGTCATTGGGGTGGATCCCTCATGAGTGGCTTGGTGCCATCCCCACGGTGATGAGTGAGTTCTATTACTGTTAGCTGCCATGAGATCTGATTGTTAACAGGAGCCTGGAACCACTCCCTCTCTTGCTTCCCCTCTCTCCATGTAACCCTGCCCATGCTGGCTCCCCTACCACTTCCACTGTGGATAGAAGCAGCCTGAGGCCCTCAACAGAAATAGAGGCCAGCACCATGCTTCTTATACAGCCTGCAAAACCAAGAGCCAAAAGACCTCTTTTCTTTAAACATTACCCCCACCTCCTCAGATATTCCTTTACAGCAACACAAACACACTAAGCCACACAGTGTATGAGTTCGCTAGGGCTGCCATGGCAAAGAACCATACACTGGTTGGCTTCAACAACAGAAATTCATTTCCTCACACTTATAGAAGCTGGATCAAGTCACTGGCAGGGCTGCTTTCTTCTGAGGTCTCTCTCCTTGGCTCACAGGTGGCTGGCTCCTCCTGTGTCTTCACATGGTCTTCCCTCTGTACATACCTGTGTCCTAATCTCCTCTTCTTATAAGGACCCCAGTGAGCCTAGATTAGGGCCCACTCTCTACTGCCTATTTAAAGACTCTATCTCCAAATACAATCACATCTGAGGTACTAAGGGTAAGGATTCCAACATACACATTTGGAGAAGGAGACACAATTCAGCCCATCACACATGGTCAGGGGACAAGATTGGAAGCCTCTAGTTCCTTAGAAGGAGCTGCTAGGCATGACCCCTAGATGAGGGTACACATTTGCATTTGTGCCCCCATTTGCAGATGGATACAAAGGAATCCAGGATTATTCCAGGGTACCTGGACCCCAAATTCTGTATCCTAGAGCTTTCTACAGCTTTTCCAAGATTATTGAATCAGATACATTTGAACTGAACTCAAATGGATTTGGAAGGTGAATGGAACAGAGAATGACTGGGTGTAGAGGGAGAGGTCAGATCCAGCCAGCCCCAGTGATCAGACATTAGGATGTTTCCAAGATATTACACTCCCTATGTCTCTGAACCCTGGGGTGAGCGCTACAGGATTTGGATGAAACTAGATAAACACAGGGATGTTTCTTGTCACTGACCAGGACTTTTCAGAAATCCAAGAAACCCAGTGACTACTCAGAGTTGGGAGACAAAGAATACTTTACATATTCATCCCAGACGCAGTCCTGTTTATTTTCAACCTGCATAGTATGTTAAGTAGCCCTTTTTAGCAATGTAACACTTCCTCAGTGTCCTTGTCCTGACTGCCCTCTTCCACTGAAGAACCTCAGGAGAGGTTTCCTTCTTTCTGATCCTGGCTAGGGTCAGAAACATGCATCCTATTCCTAGCTGCCTTAGGTCCAGTTCTATGGATGGGGAAGGATGAATGGCTGTCCCGTCATTGAAGTCCTTCTATTTTGGGTCCTTTTTAAAAATTGAAAAAAACAAATGTAGCTTGTCAGACCACACAAAGCCACACAGGCTTCTATGAGAGCTCTGGAATTTAATTTCATGGTTTTCATGTCTCCAGCCAGGAGGACTGGCTTCTCCCAGTCCAGACCATTCTCAGTGCTTTCTCCAGTATTAATGGACAGGTGTGCTTTCCTTTTAATCCCTTTTTCAGGGTGACCTGGTACTGGAGGCTGACCTGGTCTACCCGCATGCCACAGGGCCTCTGATCTGAGAAGGGGGAAGAAAAGGTGGTTGCCCTGTCTGGCGCTTTCTGCAGCTTCAGTAGAAATCAGAAGGCACAGAGCCTGCTTGGGTTTCCATGTGGCTCACTTCTTCCCTGCCTGTCTCATTCCCACCTTTTCTCCTCTCATGCACTATTTCACGCCTGCACCTTCTCTGGGCTAACCCTTTCAGAGCAGTTCATGGGCGTGCTCAGCCCTTCATCAACACCCCCACTGAAGCCCTGAGCTGGCAGACACTCCACAGTGGTGTGGAAAACAGGAAAGTGAATGTGGGCCCTGGCCTGGCCTGGCCCAATCATTTGTCTTCTCTTAACATGAGTTTCCTTGTCCATGAAATGAGTATGCTGGCCTAAGTCAGGGCCAGTAAATCGACTTCTAGTTTGGCCTGTGGAGGAATTATGTTGCAGCAGGGTCTAAGTGCATTTCTGAGCTTACTGGGAGATGGTATCATGTTCAGGTTGTGGTATCTGGCAGGGGCACGGCATTGGGAGTGGTGGCCCCTCTGGAGGCTCGTCTCCAGCCCTCTGGGACCACACAATTCACCACAACTTCTAAGTCCCCTCTACTGCCAACCCTTGAAGCAGAACACCACTAGGCCCAAGTTCTGATCCTGCCTCCAGGGACTGTGGCACATCTCATCAAGCCTCAAATGTCCATGCTCAAACCCTCGGCACCCAAACATTGAGGCTAGAAAGTCACACGATTCTTTTGAACTCAAATTCCCTATTGCTTCAAAGGCTCTACAGCTGCCACCCTACTTTGTTCCACTGGGCCCTGGGGCATCTTGATATTCTGTCTCTCCTTGGATTCTGCTTTGCCCCTTGTCTTAACCAAAACTTGAATGTCCCCTAAAGACAATTTTTCCCACCACCTCTCAACCGGTGCTGCTCCTTCTCTCATCTCCTAGGTGGGATGGGAGTCCCCCTCAGCCCCCATCACAACATCCAGACCATCACTCCTCCCTAGCCCCCTTGCAAAACCTGCTCCCCTTATGTGCCCCAAAATACCACCCCTCCTCTCTTCCTGGCCATCTTCTACAGCCTCCCGGTCATTCCCCTTAGTGACAGAAGATTTCAGCTTCTGGCTCACAGCCTCCCCCTCTACCCCAACTCTGTTACTCTCAGAACTGTCTACCTCTGAATGCTTTTTGGTTTTTGTTTGATTGGTTTTGTTTTTGATTTTTGAAATGGGGTCTCAAAACTCTTGTCTCCCAGGCTGTAATGTAGTGGTGCAGTCATGGCTCACAGCAGCCTCAAACTCCCAGGTGCAAGCAATCCTCCCACCTCAGCCCTCAGCCTCCCAGGCAGCTGGGACTACAAGTGCTCCACCACACTCGGCTAATTTTCAAATTTTTTGTAGAGATGGAGTCTCACTATGTTGCCCAGGCGGGTCTCAAACTCCTGGGCTCATGCAATCCTCCCTCCACAACCTCCCAGAGTGCCGGGATTACAAGTGTGAGCCACCACATCTAGCCTCTGAATCCTTATTGCCCTATGGTTACCACCCACACCTGGATTTATTTTTATTTTTAATTGTGATAAAATACAGATAAATATAACATAAAATATAAAGGACATACAATTTACCATCTTAACTTTTTTTTTAATTAGAAGACAGGATCTTGTTATGTCGCTCAGGCTGGTTGTTTGTTTTTGAGACAGGGTCTCCCTCTGTTGCTCAGGCTAGAGCACAGTGGTGTGATCATAGCTCATGGCAGCCTTGAACTCCTGGGCTCCAGTGATCCTCTCGTCTCAGCCTCCCAAGTATCTGGGATTACAGGTGCACACCACTATGCCTGGCTCAATATAACCGTTTTTAAGTGTACAGTTCAGTGACTTTATGTACATTCACGGTGTTATGCAATCATCACCACCATCTATCTCCACAACTCTTTTCATCTTGCAATACTCAAACTGTAGCCATTAACCAATAACTCCTCATTCCCCGTCTCCCTCCAGCCTCTGGAAGTTACCATTCTACTTTCTGCTTCTATAAATTTGACTACTCTAGACACTTCACAGGAGTGAGATCATACAGTGTTGTCTTTCTGTGACTGGCTTATTTCACTTGGCATAATGTCCTTGAGGTTCATTCATATCGTAGTATGCATCTGAATTTCCTTCTTCATACCTGGAGTTTGCATTCAACACAGATCCCAACCTCCAAACTTACAAATTGAGAATCCTGACTCTCTGACTATGCCTACAGCTTGCTTAATGCCCCACGGAGAAAATGCCTCAGGTTCATCAGGTGTTAAATGGACATGACTGGCTTTCTCCTAACGCCAAGCATTCAGGGGCTAAAATGAAGTATCTCTTGCATAAGACGAAGGGTCTTTCTTGTCTTCACACAACAAATGTAATTTTACCTAGATATTCTTTTTTCCTAAATCAAACCTGTAGCCAGGAATGTGAAGCCAAGGTGTGGTTCGGGATTCCTTTCCAGAATTGAGGGAGGAATCCCCACCTAGAATTTTGATGACTCAGATGTTACCAAGATATGTGGTAGGCAATTGGTAGTAGGAAGGTAATTATTCATCTTTCATCCCGTTGAGTCTGTGACAAATAATCCAACCAACGGACAAGGTCTGAAAGTTAAGACCTCTGAAAGGACATAAGCAATGCCTGCCAACAGGTCCCCTCCTGGTTTCGGGGTTTAAGACCATTACTCTCAGGAATCTAGGTTAACTCAGGTAAAAAGAGCTTTCTTAACCCAAACACTCTGTAGCAGTTTCTGGCTGAAGAAGCTATCCACGCTTTTTTGCTAAACAAAAACACCCTTCCATTTGTCTCTTCAAAATTCTCACTCAATTTTTTTCTTCATTTGTGTCTCTGCTGAGTCACACAGAGCTATGATTCACAAACGTAAGGTAATATTTATCCACCAGACTTCAAGAAAAATCAGTCCATCAAACTGAGAAAAATAAAAATAATAAACCCTGAATTTGATTGAATTACAGGATTGTACTTTATTGAGATTGTGTCCTTCCCTCTTTTCTGGAATTACAGGTCTTATCTTTTATAAAATAATAGTAATGAGTGTATTTTGGGAATGTCTGAAAGAGTGACAGCTTAGTCCTCCAAATTCACTTTGCAATTTTTCTGGCAAAATCTCAAAATCTGAGAACCACTGAGCTGAAAGTCACATCACTCCTCTGGAAACTAGCTCAGAATATTCCTGGCTTACCTGGAGCTGCGGGCCCAGTGAACCTTCTGGCTTGGGATCACTATCAGCAAACTGGTCTCCAGCCCTGCCTTTCTCCTAACATTAAAAGATGGCCTCTTGGATCACTTTGGTAGTTAATCACCACTAACAAAGGAACAAAATAAAGGGGAGGAGAACAGGATTACAGACACAAAGGGCCACTGCTCCTAGTCTCAGAACAGGATTGCTGGAATGACGGCTTCTCCCCAGGAAGGAGGGGCTGACCCCGGGCACTGCACATGCCTTCTCTTCACAAAGACAGGAGGACACACCTGTTGCTGCAGAAGACGACATTGCGAGCACAGTAGCTGGCACACAGCCTGAAGGACCCCACTACTGGATGAAGAAAACACTGAAGTCAGCTTCAACTGCACCTTTAGTGACAGACATCTGCCAGCCAATGAGGTGCACCACAGTCGTTTCCTCCCTAAGTCTCCGAAGGTCTAGTCCGGGCTGTTCTAGGGTTCTCTCTTGTCTTCCAGTGAGGTGTGGTGTGGTGCACAGGCACTGCTTTGATCACCACGTCTCAGACCACCCAAGCTTAAGGGGCCAGAATTAGCAGCTGCACCACCTAGAAACCCACTTGGGGGAGTCTGCAATGCCCTGGAAATGGAGAGCTCAAGAATCTGACCACATCTCAATTGACCCTCAGTAAATTCCAGACACAAGGGCGTGACATTTTATGTGGCACATAGCACATTTGAACTATGCTTTGTTGAATCTCCATGTCAACCTCTGTAATACAGTAACTCTAACATTGGAATAAAACCCAAGTAATCACACAAATCTAACTCTAGTTACTTTTATGGGTTATGTCTCAAATGTCAAAACAACCGACACATAATAAATGAAGTAAATCTTTTAAAATCTGTAACAAATGTTCTCTTGCCCTGGGAAAGGAGATGGTTTCCCGGGCTGGCTCCCCTGAGGCCCTGGGCCAGCTGTTGTTTCAGCACTGCTGGTTTTCTGGAACTTGGGCAGCTGTCTGGCTCCCAGTCAAAATGGGCACCTCTAATCTTGCTTTTTTGCTCGGATATCACACATTCCAGGCAGCTGTACTCACCTTCAGAAAGGGCAGACTTTGCTATTGTAAACAGTGCTGCAATGAACATTCGTGAGCACGTGTCCTTATAGTAGAACGATTTGTAATTCTTTGGCTATATACCCAGTAATGGGATTGCTGGGTCAAATGGAATTTCTTTTTCTAGGTCTTTGAGGAATTGCCACACTGTCTTCCACAATGGTTGAACTAATTTACACTCCCACCAACAGTGCAAAAGTGTTCCTATTTCTCCACATCCTCTCCAGCATCTGTTGTCTCGACTTTTTAATGATCGCCATTCTAACTGGCGTAAGATGGTATCTCAATGTAGTTTTGATTTGCATTTCTCTGATGACCAGTGATTTACGCAGCCATCAAAAACGATGAGTTTGGGTCCTTTGTAGGGACATGGATGAACCTGGAAACCATCATTCTCAGCAAACTGACAGAAGAGCAGAAGATCAAACACCGCATGTTCTCACTCATAGGCGGGTGTTGAACAATGAGAACACATGGACACAGGGAGGGGAGCACTACACACTGGGGTCAGTTGGGGGGAAACAGGGGAGGGACGGTGGGGGGTGGGGAGCTGGGGAGAGATAGCAAGGGGAGAGATGCCAGATGTAGGTGATGGGGAAGAAGGCAGCAAATCACACTGCCACGTGTGTACCTATGCAACAATCTTGCATGTTCTTCACATGTACCCCAAAACCTAAAATGCAATAAAATAAATGGGAAAAAAAAAAGATTAAAGAAAACGTAAAAAAAAAAAAAAAGAAAGAAAGAAAGGGCAGACTTATCTCAGACCAGGTGTGAACACTGCAGAGTGCTGAGAGAAGCAGCTCAGCATCTCGGCAAGGCCAATGGCCAGGACAAGGCAGGGCAGGCCCGGCTTGCTGGGCAGGAACACACAGGTGGGCGTGCGGACAGATGCCTCCAGGTAGCAACAAGTTACAAGGTGAGGGTGAGGGACCTCTTTTTGCTACTAGTGAGATATAGCCCTTCAGTGGTAGGAGGAATCTCAGAAATCATTCCCTCCACCCTTCACCTTCCTAATATTTACTCAGAGTTTTTTTTTTTCTTTTTTTAAACAATAAATAAGGACCCCTGACCTAGACCCCTCAACAAAGGAAGGAAAAAACATTGTTCATTCAAGGGCCAAAAAAATGTGTCCCTCCCTCGATTGCTGTGGCCAGGGCCAGAGGGCAATGGGCCAGTTTCTCTATAAACAACATCCTCTGTCTCAGCAAAGTCCTCTAGGAAGGGCTTATGTCTCAGCAGCCACTGAAGTTCAATTCTTAGTTCCACTTCCCCTGGGACACCCATTTGCTCAAACGGTTTTGATTTCCACCTTGCTGAAAACCAGATGGTTAAACACTCTGCCTTTCTATAACCCTGCCTGTCTGGGTGGAGGAAGCCTAACCATCTGTACATGGGTTTTCCGGGATGAGAGGTAGCCCTCCTCCAAGCACGGTGCATAGACTCAGAAAGCAAATAAAGCAACAAGAATGCTCAAAAGAACACAGAGGGGCTATCGCCTCCATGAGAGCAAAATAACCACTGCCCTGTCAAGACTATTTTAGCAGGAAGGAAACAGGCATATTAATCAGGAGAACTGATACGTGGTATATGTTATGGAGGGTTCCTGATATGGTCAGAAAGAAAATCTGGAGTTAGAAGCGTCAAGTGGTCGGAGTCCTGATCCTAGTATCTTTTAGCTGCATGACCTTGGTAAGTAACTTACCTCTCAGAATCTGCTTCCTCCTCTCAAATGGGGATGTAGTATCTGCTCCAACAACCTTATAAGTGGTTTGTGAGAAAATGAAAGTGAACATATCATGCAAATGCAAAGGAACTTGTATGCTAATCATATGGGCACAAACACAGCAGGATTTGAGGAGTTGAAGGCTCCTTCCAGTGAGTTCTCTTAAGCTGTGAGACAAGGAGCTGGCTAAAGATCACCCTCCTCTCTCTAAAATGTAAGAAACCCCAACTTCCCTGGAAGCCTGTCACATTTATAGGCAACATTCATATTCCGCAGCTCCTTTCCCTAAGCAAGGGTCCTGGACTGCCCAACTCCTCCTCTCATCGTTTCTTGGAGTCCCTGGGGCACTGTTGCATCCACTGGGCACCTTCTTCTCCTACCATTGCTGCCTCTGATGCCCTGCAGTCCAGATGGTGCCCAGGATGCCTGGTAATGAAGTATATTATATTCTGTTTGTTAGATGAAGCCCAAAGCAAGGATGCTTAGTACAATACGTCCCTCTAATATTAACCGAAACTGCTCATCCTCTCTTTACTCAGAGATCCTTTTCTCCCTTAAGCTCCAAGATGCCATGGAACCTAGCTTAAGAGGAAGGAGATCCTAGTGACAGATTCTGGCCTACTTAGAACCACTTTCCCACTCTGACCCTGAAATTCTGAGGTATAGCTAAGCTTATAATTAACTCCTTCTCTCTGGATGCATTTTCTATTAGGAGACTCTTTGTGGGATGCCCCACAAGTGCACTACACAGACCCAACTGATTCCCAGATTCAGCTGCCATTCTAAATACCTCCTGGAAAAACACAGCTTTTTATTTTTTCTTCCACAGTTTGGAAAACACGACCCTCCAACATCCATGCGCTCCAGCTCCAGGATGGGCTCTGTTTATCTGCACCAGACTTGCCTACTGCAGCCTGTCGGCCAGTGGTGACTGCTTCAGGGATAAAGAAGTCTTTGCAAATTTAAGCTAAAGATATATAAGAAGAACATTGCTGGAGTTTCCTCGGCTCTTAAAATAGATATTTGGAAAACCAGCCTCTTTCCCCATGAAGAATCAGAAATGGGGACTCCCATTTGACTCCAAATGATGGAGTCAGAATTTAAATGCACACTTGTGACTCCAAAGCTAAAAAAGGTACTGTGTGGGAACCTTCCTGTGGATCCTGGGATAAGAAGTGGCTGCTCCTGAGTCACTCCAGTTTTCATGAGTCCCAGATTCCTTACCACAACTCCACTGGGCTTTCTTTAAACTTCTTAGTTGATACCTGTTTCTTCTACTGTTTACACACATTGCACACATTCTATTTTGAATCTCTTGGTTCTCAGTCCTTAAATTTCATCTTTCCTGTAGTTGGACCCTCAGAACATCCCAGCCTCAACTCCCAATCAAGAGCATTTCTAGCACAAAGTTGTGATTTTCTTTCATGTGTTGTCTCAAGCTTGAGAGCAGATCTGCCTTTGAAACCTGCTGCTGCTGCTGCCACCACCAGCACCATCATAGCTGACTACACATTGTGTGCAGGGACTATGCTAAGCAGGGAATCTATTATCTCCATGGGATAGGGTTTTACAGATGAAAAAACAGTAACGTAATGAGATTGGGTAACTGGCCCAAAGCCATACATATGATAGATGGTAGAGTCAAAATTCAAATGTACACTTGTGATTCCAGGGCCAGAAAAGGTTTTGGTAGGCTATGTGGGGACCTTCTGGCTAATTCTAGGATAGGACAGGGCTATTCCTAGGTATCTTTCAGTTGCTCAGTAGAGAGGGAGGTGGTCACTCACTAGCAGATTTCTGAGTTTCTTTAGACTTGGGCTGGTGGTGAAGAAGCTGGGCTGTGTACCCTCAGTTCCTAACTGACCTTCAGCTCTGTCTTGTTGGGAGCATTCTCCTCCTCAGGAGAGGAGGACAAGGGCACAATACTCTCTCAGGAACTGGCGTTTCTTCTTTCTCTTGGAACATCTTTCCTCATTTTAACTCTTTCCCAATCACTCAAGTGCCCTCTGGATATGTCCATTTGTCCCAAAGTCTGGCCTGGTCTGGCAGATAACTTAGAAAACATGTGCATGTGCCGCCCTCCTCTCCGCTCAGGATCTCTTCATTCATTCATTATTTATTCTGCATCCATTACATGCTGAACGCTCGTTACTTATCTGTGGAGGTCACAAAATAAGTTCAGAATATGACAAATGTCCTGCCCACGAAGAGCACAGCTGCCAGTCCTGTATTTATAATATCTCTGCAATTCTACCTTCCCTTCTAATTTGACTGCTAGCTCTGCTTCTCAGGCTGTAGCGGCCTTCTTGGAATCATGAGAGCCAACATGAGAACTAGGTCAGTAAGCTGAGGATAATGAAACGGAAAAATGGAAAGAGCCCCAGTGACACTGCTGGGTTGTTAAACTATCTAAACTGCATGTTTGTTTTCAGGCTTTAAGTCAATAAGATAATGTGTCTTTATTGCTCCAGCTGGAAGCATCCTAAATGATACACTCCCTCCAGGTGCCAGGAAAGATGCCAAATAGCAGGCCTAAACTGTCTTACAGCTTGGGATCCAAAATGGGAAAGGACTTTGTCCCTGCCAATCTCCATACAATGAATGCCACGAAACTCTGGCTGATCCTGTTCACTCCACTTGCCCACCCCAGGTCAATCCCGTGTCTGGTCAGATGCAGTGCTGTCATCAGCCCAGGATGCAGTATTGGGTTATGGGTCTCGCATGTGGCCACAAAGGAGGGCACTGTGTTTGACGAAAACCACGCATCATGTGTACAGCCCCTATGGTGAAGACAGGCAACACATCTGCTAAAATGGGGTTTAAAAATGAAGTTAACACTTGGTTCCGAGATGATCTATGAAAGCAAAACAGGTTCTAGGAGCCAAATGTGGGAACAGCTATACAGCAGAAAGGGTGGTACTGGTGGATTTCATACACTGATACTTAAAAAGGGAGATAAGGGCAAGAAATCCATTTTAAGATTGAAGAAACAGCACAGATGATCCTATCTTCTCTTCTGGGGCAGAGACACGGGCACAGGTGAAACTCAAAACAGAGCACGTAGCAGGACTGGGCGTAGCCTTAGGGAACCTAGGCTTTGTTTAAGCTGAAAAAGTATGAATCTATTCAGCATCAGGTTTGGCCATCAGATTTCTCTAACAACTGGTTAGAGAATCTGTAAAGCACAGAAGATGGGGACAGTAAATATGGGCGCTGGAGAGGCGTGAGAGTAGTGAAAGCTGGCTGGGCCCGGTGGCCCACGCCTGTAATCCCAGCACTCTGGGAGGCCAAGGCGGGCAGATAATTTGAGGTCAGGAGTTCAAGTGACAACAAAGGTGGGCAAAACACTGACGTGATCCAGACAGAGAGGACCTGTGGCCACACCTGCCCTGTTCTGTTTAGATCTGAGCTCTCTCCCCAGCAGGACCCATCAGCTGTAGCGTCTCAGAGCTAGGCAGACTACGTCCTAGGAAAACACGCCTTGGGGAAGCTTCCTGAGTGAGGTGGCTCCTGTCACGGTATCAATGTCATGATGTGTCTTATATCTGCTGCCCTGACCAAGAACCAGGAAATACTATTTCCAGTGACTTCTCGAGCAGGTGTGGTCCCCATCCCATGCCAGACTTGACTGTGTGGCTTCAGGATCTGTGTTGGGTTGCAAGGCAAGGCTTATCCTGCCTGGTGCCTGTCTTGACATCTATATTGACCTATTGGTTTTGTTTCCCTCAGTTGAGAGTAGAGATAATAGTAGCTACGTCTTTCAAATACAGTGTGGCTTCATCTTGAGGACCTAGGGAAGAGTGTGTTTATCCTGTCCTCACAGACTAGAAACATATGCCTGTGAGGTGGATCCAAGGGCAGTGGTCACTCACTAGGAGATCTGTGAACATTTCTTTAGACTTGGGCCGGTGGTAGAGCAGCTGGGCTGTGCATGCCCCAGTGCCTATCTGTGGGAGGGTAACATCACACCAGGCAGAGACATACAATCTACACCCTCCAAGGTTACATGAGAGCAGTAGGGATGACAAATCTGTGTTCTGGAGACTTTACTTCCTGTTCCACTCTCCATTCCAAAAAGTCAATGTAGATGTTTTGGCTTTATTAAAGAGTATATTAAAGGGTATAGGCAGGGCAAGGCATGGTAGCTCAAACCCCTAATCCCAGCACTCTGGGAGGCCAAGGTGGGTGGATCACCTAAGATCAGGAGTTCAAGACCAGCCTGGCCAACATGGTAAAAACCTGTCTCTGCTAAAAATACAAAAATTAGCCATGTGTGGTGGCACATGCCTGTAGTCCTAGCTACTTGGGAGGCTGAGGTGGGAGGATCACTTGAACCCAGGAGGCAGAGGTTGCAGTGAGCAGAGATGGCACCACTGCACTCCAGCCTGGGTGACAGAGAGAGACTCCATCTCAAAAAAAAAAAAAAAAAAAAAAAAGGCATAGGCAGTTGGGTGGTATTGTAAATCGCCTGTTTTGTTCAACAGGATGTGTTTGCTTTCGGAAATTTTTATTATTGGCTTTTCTAAGCTGCTGCTATACAACTCATTATTTAATAGCATGAAAAAAGGATCACGTTAAGTATTTTTTAAAAGGCTGTAGAATGGATTGTACGCTGTGGGCCCAACTATGTCAAAAAGCATAGCTTTAAGTGTATCTATGCATAAATGTATACAGCAGGAAGAGATAAAAATAGTAATGTTGGGTGTCTGCATGAAATGATTGTAGATATCCACCTTTTTGTGCTTTCCTATATATTCCCATTTGTAAAATAACAATGCATAATTTAAATGATTAGAAAACGGTAACTTAAAAGCAAATCTGTTTGTTGACATGGCTCCTATGGTGGTTCAGTGAGTGTCTTCACCAACAGAGAGCCACCCAGGATATAGGATCAGAAGACATGGGCCTGCTTCCCAGCTCAGTCACCTGCCTGACACTCTCTAGAAGCCATCTGCCTTCAGATACTCAAGTTTCTCCACATGTAAAATTAGAGTACTATCCGCTTTGTCTGATTGCTGGAATTACTGTAAGGGTATAAGTTAGAAAACAACACAATGTATCGGGAAAACAGATAAGGAACAGGTAACATTCAAGTGATGACACATGTTCCTGGCTGCCCACATCTCTGTAGCCATTACTTTTCAGTCCAATTTTCTTATTCCTCTTCCTCTGCCTAAAAAGGTAAGAAGCTCCTTGAAGCTCAGCTCAAGGCCACTTCTTCTTCCCAACCTATTCTCTCTTCCTAGATGAGCTTGTCCATTCTACGACTTCAGTTACCATCTGTTTATGGCTCACAAATTGATTGTCTCAGCTCAACTTTCAGACCTGTATATCCAACTACTTTGTAAGTATAAAGACTTGACTTTCTCACCGGCACCTTGAATCTAATGCATCCAAAATTAACCTTAAGGCCTTCCCAGATCCCACCACAACAAATTTGATCCTCCTCATGGCTCTTTTCTCAGAGACGGCCACCAGCATCCAACTAGATGTACAAATCAGAAACCCAGGGAGCATCCCTACCTCCTCTCTTTCCCTCACAACCCATGTCCACCCCATCACTGTTTTACATCCCACATGTCTCCAAACCCTCTTCCCTTTTCATTTCCACTGCCATTACTATAGTCCAAGCTATCCTTGTCTATTGCCTGGATGATGGCAATAGGCTCCACACTAGAATTCCTATATCTACTCATTGCTTCCGCCAATCCATTCTCCATTCTGCATCCAGAGAAAGCTTTTCATTTATGTATTTATTTATTTTTATTTTGTAGAGATAGGGTCTCGCTATATTGCCCAAGTTAGACTCAAACTCCTGGTCTCAAGTGATCCTCTTGCCTTGGCCTCCCAAAATGTTGGGACTACAGGCTTGAGCCACTACACCCACCCTCAGAGAAAGCTTTTTTAAAAAATCAACTTTATTGAGGTATAATTTGCATGCAATAAAATTCACCTATTTTAAGCATCCAGGTTAATGAGTTTTGACAAATAACTCCATTCTGGTAACCACCACCCAATCAAGATAGAAAATATTTGCAGCACCCAGGAAGCTCCCTCATGTCCTCTTATTCAATCTTTCCACCATGCCTGCTTCCAGGCAACTAAGAATCTGATTTTTCTCATTATAAAATAGTTTTGCTTATTCTGGAATTTCATGTAAATGGAAACATATATTGAAGGCTTTTTGTCTGGCTTATTTCACTCAATAAAATATCTATGAGATTCACCCATGTCCTGGTACGTATCAGTAGCCTGTTGTTTTCATTGCTGAGTAGCATTCATGCTATGACTATAGCTAAGCATGTTCATCCATTACCCTGCTAATGAGCATTTGAGTTTGTTCTACATTTAGGCTATTTGGTATTATCTTTTCCCCATCCTTTTACCAGCCTACCTGGCTCTTGATATTCAAAATGCATCTCTTACAGGCATCATGTAAGCAAGTCTTGTTTTTTATTCAGTCTAATAATCTCTGCCCTAGTGGGGTGGGGTGGGATGGAGCAGAACTAATAGGCTTATGAATGGGATAAGTCTAAGAGCATAAAGTATTTGTAGAGGTTTGCCTTCATCTTACATAAACTCCAGATATCTGCTGGTTCTAAAAGCATGGTCTGTGGACCCCGATGCTTCACTGACACCCTTTCAGGGATGTGTGAGGTCAAAACTATTTTCATGATATAACACTTGAGTATTCTTTGCCTTTTTCACCATATTGTCATTTGCACACATGATGCAGGAGCAATAGTGAGTAAACTGCTGGGGCCTCAACACAAATCAAAGCAGTGGCACCAAACTGTGCTAGAAGTCACTGTACTTTTTCCCTCCACACACTCAAAAATTGAATATAAAATTTAAAAAAGAAGCCAATTTCACTTAAGAGGTACTTGATAACAACAGTAAAAATTATTAATTTCATTATATCTCAACTCTTGAGTACATGACTTTATAACGTCCTAAGTGACCGAATGGGCCTTCTGCTGGTTTTTGAGCAAAAATGTACATGTGCAATTGTGTAAGATGCAAGCAGAAGTAGCAGCATTTTTCCCCAGAGGGAATATTTAATCAATTAATTCATGATACACGTTGATGATACTTTTTTCTTCTATGTTTTGGCTCAATTCTCTTTAAATGTTTCTCCATTAAGAAATCCATCATTTCTACGGAAAGAATAAATTCTCTACCACGGTAGATCAAACTCTTTTTTTAAGAGCTGCTATATACCCCACACCCAATGGGGGTATGTAAGACCCTTCAGTCTGACATAGCAGTATACGATACCCCTATTGTTAACATCTTTTGTTACTCTATGATAGTTTGTCACAATTAATGAACCAATATTGATACATTATTAACTGAAGTCCATACTTACTCAGATTTCCTTGTTTTTTCCCAGCGTCCTTTGTATGTCCCAGGATCCCAGTGGGACACCGTTCCACTTTCAACCCCACAGTAGCCGCTATCTTCTTGAGTGATCTCATCTAGCTCATGTTCAGCTCGCCTCTCAACCTTCGACTTACTAGGGACCTAGAGGTGTCCTCGTGTATGCTCTTATACAACTCCTTCCTCTCTATATCTCACTCCACACTATCTGTCTGCTTCCACTGCTCTGAATCCCAATTTCCACATCTTCCACTCAGTGGGACCACTGTGATCTACACAGACTCCAGTTCTCTGTGCCACGGTTGGGAATAGTTCCAAGATAGACAGTTGGGTGATCATGGGGTTTACCTCATGAGTTTCCCTCTGTCTGGGATCAGTAGTTTTGTGCTACCTATTTTTCACTGCCTGAAAATAGCTGTCTCATCTGTTTTGTCATGTTGTATAGCAGTTCATGGTAGGAGGGCTAGCCTAGTACCAATTACTCCATCATAGCCAGAATCAGAAGTCCAAAGAAAGCTTCAAAAATTAGAAGTCTGATCATGTCCCTTCTCTGGTTAAAATCTTTCCATGGCTCTAAGAATAAAGATCCAAATTTGAAAATGGCCTGTGGGGTCTTATATGATCTGAGCCACACCTGTGCTCCAGCGTCATTCCCCCTCCTCCTCATGCCCTCGTTCCTTCCTTAGCCTTTGGCCTTCCTTCAATCCCTTGCTGTTTTCTCTTATCTCTAGGCGTTTGCATGTGAAAGCACACCACCCAACATTCTTCCCATCCTTCTTCACCAACTGGCTACACGCCACAATAAATGAAACCTGTGAAATTAGCATAGCATTAGATGGAACAGAGTCTAAAAACAGACTCATATATGTATATATTTCAACTCAATGAGAAAGGGAGAAATTATTCAACAAGGACAGTTAATTCAATTGGCTAGCTATGTTATCCTTAACTTACCCCATATTCAAAAAGAAGCTTCGGACAAAGCGTTAATAAGCAAAATGTATAAGGAGCTACTCCAAATTGATAAAAAGAAAGCAACCCAATAAAAACTTGAAAAGGAATAGGCAATTCATGGAAGAACTACGACTAACTGATAAACATAAGAAAAAATAAACATAGAAAAGACATTCAACATTAAATATTAAATATAATAAAATATATATTAAAAATAAAATATTGATAGTATCCAATGTTAGGGAGATAAAAAAAGGCACTCTGTTACACTGTTAGAGTATAAATTAGTACAGCCAACTCATCAATATTTTAAATGTACTCTGACCCAGCTCTCACATTTCCAGGAGGCTATTCTACAGAAATAACGCATGGCCATTAAATTGCCTGTATCAGGAAAAAAACTGGAAAGACTCTACATGCCCAATTATAAGAATATATAGAAACTATAGGACATCCATACATCAGAACACAATGCATCCATTTAAAAAATGAGATACCTCTAAATTATTTAAAAAGATGTCTACAGTATAATGTTGAAAGTTAAAAGTGAGTTGAAAAACAAACATCACACTATTAGTTATGCATGTATACCTCATATACACACACACAAGAAAAGAATCTGAAAAGATACACATCAATTCTAAAGGAGAGGATTTGAAGGGGGAACTCAGGAACCCCCTTTTTTTTTACTTATACACTTCTAAAGTATACCATTTGAATCTGTCACAAAGAATATTTCACTTTTGTAATGTAAAAAACATTTAAGTGTACTTTTTGAAAAAGAGAATAGATTAGCTATTACAATCAACTGCTCAAATGCTCACGGTGAACTAGTGCAGTTTGAGTTTAACATTACAGCAGGGGGCTGTACTGCCACCTCGTGGTAGTTTACTGCCACCGTAAATTGCCTATCCAA